AAGTATGAACGCATCCTGATGAGAGTAGATTTCGCGGCACATCTTAATAGGGTCGATCGATGCTGAACGCTCTGATTTTTCTCTTCCTTACCCTGACCATTTCGATCTATTCTTTCGCTTTTGCCCATCTTTTTGAAGAGCTCAGGGGAACATTCAAGAGACTCGAGGGAACAACGAAACAAACAAGAGGAACGGCTTTGGCGCGCACCTCTTCGCAGTCGTTCCGGCTTTAATTACCCCTCAAAAACCAAGCCTCTACGTGACTAGAATGAACATTCTGTTTGCATCAATCATAGTGCTATCAATAGAAAATGTCCAGCACATGCAAGCGGGAAAAGAAACGATGAGACCCAAATTCCGCAAACGATCGATGATCACGCATATTTCCGCGTTTATCAAAGATCAGCTGAGCGAAACTTGAGCAATTTCACCACGTTTTTTGGATAGAATTTCATCCACAGATCCAAAAGACGTCAAGCGAACAGTGAAACGGCCATTGGGCCAATGGACCTGTTTCTCAGGCGGATTTAGCACGTCGATTCGCTCTGGCAGAGCATAGAGGGAGGATATTGTTTTTTCTCAGTGTCCATCCAAAACCTCGTGCGAAACGAAGGCTAAGCTGCTTCTTCATTTTCTTTCCAGGACTTCAATGTCTTCGCTGCTTTACAGGTTCTCTGTCAGTTCATTTTTCTTTGCAGCGCGGGTCACCGCAAGATGAGCAGCTACCTCACAAAAACCAACGATGCTCAATTTAACACTGACGGAAACTTCTGAAATAGCGGAGATGAAGGGAAAGTCGAGATAAGGGGAGAAGCACAATTCTCATGTATGCTGCGCAGGTCCACAACCACAAAGGGAATCCTACTTTCACCGTTGAAACTGCGTAAAGGTAGGAAGTCGCGGGGAGGTTGTGGCTGAACTCTGAGCCCACGCCCACTGCTTTCAATGGCTCCTCCACCGCTCCGGCCCCTTGGTAACGCATTAGGCGCAGCGATCGAACCATTGAACATGATGGTTTAACTCAACCAAAAAATGAAATCTCATAGTATAATCAAGCCATAATCACATCCGGACATTGCTTATCGGTTCGGCGGCAAAAAAGAAAAATTTGGAGGACTCGTCCGAATACTTGTGACATTGTACAAGCTGGAAAGTAATCCTATAGACGTTCTGGAGATTTTCTCTGCCTTATCCCTCATTTCTGAGTCATTTAATGATATCCCTCTTTGAGGTGCGACACCTATGTACTTCTATTCATACATTCTGATTTACTTAACAACTAAAAATTCATATATTGAACCCTTACGGACATTTTTAAAACATGAAATGTGTCTTTAATTTATTTGTTCCCACGATAAAGAAAACAACTCATTGACAACTTCGATCGAAAAAGAGATAATAAGATCTGCACAGCACGACGTCACGATTCCGAGGAAATTTCATTCAGGACCAGGGAGAGTCGTCGCATGCTTTCAAGAGAATCGATGGCAGCTGCCACAAAAATCAGTTAATGCCAGAAATCCATTTGAGGGCTCAGTTGTAAAAAATTGAGTGCCAAGGGTATCGCTAGAATGAACTGCACGCTACCAAAGAAATAAATTAACAAGGAACAAGTTGAAGCGAAACTTTCGGTTTACCGATGGTATCTAAGGGTAAACAACGTTCGAAAAACCCCGCGATTGCATAATGAGAACAGTGCCTTTCAGTTGAAAACCTATAGTCGCTCAATGACCCTACCTAGGAACGAAAAAGCAAGAAAAATCACGGAGATCATCCTAAAGAACCTCGAGTTCTCCGAGCCAGCCTTTTGCATGCCAACCAAGCGATATCCTGCAGCCTTCTGCCGCCTAATAGTTTCTTTGCATCATCAATGCTAATACCATCTGACAAAAAAAACGAAGAACGAGGCGAAAAAAACCGGACTAGTGACAGAAAATGCCTTTAGGTTCTGATGGGGCGGGATAACTAGGGAGGCAGGCGTCAGAACTGCTACTTAGGGCCGCAGCGCCCACGCTACTTACTGTGAAGCAGCGAAAGTGGGACAGCCTTAGAGACTGAGGACGAAAGTACAAATAAGGAAGCTTAGGGACTGGTGAGCGCGGGACTGCCTTTAAGGAAAGCACCCGCAGTGCTAAGAATTTATGCTAGTACTTCGCCTTCAAAAAAGCAGATAGAAACCTCGTTGATCAACGGAAGTAGAATTGAGAGCATAGCGCTGAGCCCCATCAATCAATTTACCAAAAATATTGAGAGTCCGTCCATACTATGGGTCAGCGTTTAGCGACTACGAAATACGACTATCGATCCGGCGTTCTGAGCGGACAGCGCTTTCAGCGATGGAGGAAGTATAGGTAGCGATTACTTGTTAAGCCTCAACAGCACTTTCCTGCTACTCAAAACGCTGACGCAAAATATTAGCGCATTCTAATAACATGCAGCTTCGCTTTATGTCAATTCAAGGTTCCGCAAACCCTCGCATATGGTTTTCAAACGGTATTGAAGGGTGATCTCGAGTAATATCAAAGTCATATAGAAAAATGTCCATGGGAAGATGGTAGGAAACGATTTGCAGCTAAACAATATGTTGTTGCCAACAACAACACAAACATCGCGCCAGGCTGAGCACGTAGCCTTCTAAGACGATGGTGGATAAAGGGCAAGCGATTTAATTGGAAAAATGGTGATAATAAAACAGCTCGTAATCCAAGTACGTAAAGGTTGTGACCACTTCGCTAAATGAAGTGACTCAGAAAACCTGTATATTAAGAGGCCGATGGGCGACAATACTTGGCTAGAGACTACCAAGAAAGTACCACGGAAAGTTCCAGCGGAGGATTACTGAGCTAGCGATTTAGAGCAAACTCTTGAAGTGGAAAATAATTGGAAACACTAGATTGCCGTAGAGCTTGAACTAATAAGCCGCATTCAATCCAAGCTGATAACCGAGAACGAATTGCATAAAGGAGTGACAAGAAACGTATGGTTAGTGAAATTATATCGTCGTCCACCACGATTACATACTTTCTCTTGTATTCGGTTTTTTCTGTGTTATATTGGCGGATCCGGAACATGTTTGATTTAGTCCTATTTGCTTTCTATGCAGATTGTTTGTTTAGAATGTGTCAGTTTCACCTTGTTGTTTTTGATTATATGTTATTTTCGTTCATCACTCCCCTCTCCCATTTTTTTTTTTTGTTTTTGGTTATTTTCTGATTACAATACTTGACTTGGTGGTTTGATTGGTTGTTGTTCTGCATCATGTATATCAGTTTTTCTCCATCGGACTGTCCTTTTCTGATGACTTTATACTGCTCATCATTACTTATTACGGTATTAAGCTCTCTTGTCGTTTTATATCCGCGGGTCGCGCGTATTTAGACATATTCCTTCATGCAACGTTTCATAAAGTGCAAGCTTCGTCTATAGTTTGCATTTAGGAATGTAACGTTTTCTTACAGAATGGCTTAGGGTCATTTTTATAAGACGCACTAATGTGACCTTAGTCGATAAGAAATAAGCAGTGGCATGCTACGTATTTCTAAAACATCAAGTGGTGGAGCGAAGCATGTGTAGGAATTATCTCTCAGGTTCATACAGGATTTGATTTAAGAGTGCAAACGTTGAATGGAATTTGGAGCAAACGCGCGTGACTGCCCGGTTAGAAAAGAGCTGTTTCTTAAATGAGTCAAGATTCCCTTCTGTCCTTCAGTTTGCAGCCTGCCTCATAGATGCCATCTTACGGAATAGTGTCGAAATAGCATTGTAGTGGAAATCATTTTATTAGTTAAAATCATACTATCCATATAGTGCACAGTTAGGTCGCGTTCATACTTTGCAACTGAGGATATCAGCGATCTGGGAGATTACACGACAAGGCAAGAATAGTTATCGACGGGGCCGATATCTAGTGATCTGGGAACTTTGAGAGTCGGCGATCCGGAGTTATGGGAGATAGTAGAGCTCTCAAACCGCTCAATATCCCTAATCGTCGGATCGCTAAATCTCAGCAATCTCTAGCGGCCTGCACCAATCGATACCCATCGACTTTTTTAGCGCGCAATCACCGGAAACGGAGAGTCTCCCGAATCTCCATTTCAATAAATCTCCGCAGTCGCTATATCGATAACTGCCTTTTCTCGTCGCGCAATCTCTCGAGTCGCCGAGTCTTCAAACTGCTGGATCCCCTCGGTCAGAAAGTATGAACGCGGCCATAGTTCGCATATGTGGATTTCGCTGCATACTGTCCATGAATCACGGTTTTTCAGCAACACAAAAAGGTGCGAGCCGTTGCTGCCAGTCAGAATGTTTCATCACCGTCGTCATCGGATGCCTATGACGACAGTGGGCAGTCAACGTCCGCCAGTCAGCTAATTCAGCCATTTCAAAAGTGAGCTTGCTGTTAGGTACAATTCAACCTTTAAGTGAACTGTTTATCCAATAGGCATCTTAATCTCGGTGGTGATGTGGAGGAAGAGACCGAGAACTTGAACGGCCCCGATCCTCCTGCAAATCTGGATGTTTCTATGGGACCAGACTTTGGTGGTACGTGAAATCTTCCTTTAAAATAATACTTCTTACATTGTTCTCTTTGCCTGCATTCTTTCTTTCTGTCAGCCATTCAGCAGAATTCCCTTTTCTGATACTTCCCATCTTCCTCATCCTACCTACCACTTTTCTAGTTTCCTTGATTTTCTCCAACATCCACAGTTGGAATTCCCCGGAATTTCAGTCTTTTTTTTCAAAATTTTGCAGCCGAGAGGGCGTATACATAACCCTTGCGAACAGGGAAAACTGTGAAAAGTCAGCAGCTGTAAGAATTTTTCCCCAACACGAGAAATTTCACTGATGTTCAACAAATACGAGCCCCCTCTCCCAACGGCGAGTAAATACGATTCCCCACCTCTACCTGTGGGTTCCGCAACGTGCTACGTGCCCTGGAGTGAACATATGAAGAAAACATAGTTGCCAGGACCATCCTCTTCATTCCCATGCCCATCTGAGTGTTGAAAGTGCTTTACTTCCTTCGGCGCGGATCAGGCTTCACATAGCTTGGATCACAAGTATTCGTACAATACAAGTCATTTTCTTCTTTTTTCATCTATAAACATACATTCAGAAATGATGAGAGGTGCCTATTTAATTTAATTTCATTTGAGCGAAAATGCACGCTTTGTTCGCGTCAGAAGCATTTTGTTACGTTAAAAAGCTGAAAATTGCTTGGTAAACGGTAGTATTTCTCGTTAGGTCATGAGAAAGCAGAAGATTTTTCACTGGAAAATAACAGCGGAGAACATGATCGGATGGGCGAAGACGGATATCCTCTTGTGGTTGATCTTGGAACGAGGTGAACTTAAGAAGATACTTCGCAGAACGTTCCAGTTGGCATCCATAATCTGATTTTTTAGTGAGCGTCAGTCTCGGCTAGCTCGTCAACGTCTCATTGATGAAGTAATCCAGGATCAAGCGTTTGATCAGGTTAGGATTTCTTTCAACTCTTCACGCTTGACTTTCTTATTGCATGTCTTATGTCGATATCATACTAATCACCACTTTCTTCTTCTCAGTGCTGTTGATCGGTGATGTTTCCTGCGTTTTTATTTCTGAGGCTGCGTTCATACCGTGCGACGGCGTCGTCAACGTCGACGTAACCGACGAAAGCGACGTAACCGACGTTTTCGACGACTAGTTCGCGAAGATTATATACGTATCGATCCGACGTAACGGACGAAACCGACGAAAGCTGCGTAACCGACGTTTTCGACGACTAGAGACTAGATACGTATCGATCCACCTGTCGACGTAAGGCCGCGTTCATAGCTTGCGTTCGTGAAGAAATGCAGAAGTGCGGAATCTGCAGAAAAGCAATAGATACTTATCGACTTGAAGAAATGCAGAAATGCCGAAACTGCAGAAGTGCGGAAGTGCGGAATCTGCAGAAATGCAGAAATGCCGAAAGTGAAGAAGTGCGGAATCTGCAGAAATGCCGAAAGTGCGGAAAATCGATACGTATGAATTGCTGTTCGTCATTTCTGCAGATTCCGCACTTCAAATTCGGCATTTCTGCAGATTCCGCATTTCTTCACTTTCGGCATTTCTGCATTTCTTCAAATCGATACGTATGTAATGCTTTTCGTCATTTCTGCACTTTCCGCACTTCTGCAGTTTCGGCATTTCTGCATTTCTTCAAGTCGATAAGTATCTATTGCTTTTCTGCAGATTCCGCACTTCTGCATTTTCCGCATTCTGCATTTCTTCACGAACGCAAGCTACGAACGCGGCCTAACCGACCAGAAGATTAGACACGTATCGACTGACGTCGGTTACGTCGCTTACGCCGGTTTCCGTTACGTCGGATCGATACGTATGTAATCTTCGCGTACTAGTCGAAAACGTCGGTTACTTCGACGTTGACGACTATGTCGCACGGTATGAACGCAGCCTGATGCTTCCCTTATTTTTTATCCCAACTGTATTCGTTTCCTTTGTAAGATGGAGGCATAAATCGGGCGGCTCTCATCGATCGTGCACTGTATCGGGAAAAGGGAGTCACCCACATCAACGAAATCTCAAATATTGAAACTGAGGGAGCAGTCTTTCTCAGGCCGGAGCCATTCATTTATTTTGGGATCCGCTTGATACGCGCGACCGCGACAAGAGGCGGTTTAGTGCCTATCGGTGGATCGCTGCAACGGCATGGAAGCTCAGTGGATTACAAAATACTTAGATCTTCCACTTAGCTTTTTTTTCTTAGTGTATTTACTTGCATGGTCTCCAAGGATTAATTTTATGCTATCATTTGCTATTATGTGATATAAGGATTCAGGATGTGATAGAGGAGCTGGAACGTGCAAATATGAGACGTGTTTTCGAGGAGATCGAAGAGGGAGAGGACGCTGAGCATGCAGCTATGAGGCGACGAGCCACTGCAAATGGAATTGTGTAAGTTTTTTTAAGGCTCCAATAAATAAAGTCCGTTCCTTAAGTTGAATGATTTGGTTACTAAATGCCCACTAGTAAGACTGCATTCGCTCTTTTCTCGGCGTTTTGAACGAAAAGGAACGTAAGGAAGCGGTCTAGAGTGGACAACTTGCAGCGTTTTGGGTGTAATAGAGAAATCGACGTTCGAACAATAAGCGAATGTTAAAGTATAGGCATGGATCTGGCGTTTTGGGCTTTTGGAAAGGGATGCTCAAAGCGCTTGGAACGCTCCAAGCGCTTGCATTGCTCAAAACGTCGATTAAAGGTATGAAGGCAGCCTCAGCAATCTTTTCTCTTCTTTTTTTATTCACATGACTCCACGTATAGCACGGAGTTTTTGGACTATACTAGCTCAGTGCGCTGCACTCCAGAGTTCTAGGTTAAGTGTCCAAGCAAGGTTACGAATTCTCCGTTTTTCGTTGTCTTCAGCCGAAGCTGTGCGACAACTTACTTAGTCCCCTTTTCCACTTCGCCAACGCACATCAGCTGACCATCATGTAACTATGCTGGCATTGCAAGATTAGTTGGCTTAAAGACTCCTATTCTCCTTCATTCCCTGTGACTAAACCGCATTTCCACCTTATCTTCCCTCCGAAGTTTTTGCAAGCACACCCATATAAAGACGACCCGGCTTCTTCGCGTTTTCGAAGCGAGTAATATTCCAAGCAACGCGTTTTGGGGCTGATAGACAGCTTCGACAGTGGACTTGAGGTCCTTAATATGTTAAAAAAAGGGAATGCTGCAATGGACGTCATACCTATGCCTATGGTTATCCCCTTCGCCCAACTTGTTCTTGTGATTTTCTGAAAAATAGCTTCTATATGGTAGCGTCTTCGTCCCCAACGATTATAGGCATACTATACATGAAACGCGACCAAATAATAGAAGTTTGAGCGTCAAGTCGGATAATGTTGTCCAGATGCACCTAATGAGCTGTTTGGCAGATGTAAACTATAGCTAAAACATTTCCAAGTTATCGGCCGCATATGCGGAGCTGTGTGTCAACAGCAAAATTTAGAGAGCTTGCGCAGTTTTCTCAGCTTTTCTTTCATTTGTTTTGATTTGTTTACTTAATTTTTATACCATCTAAGTGATGATCAGGTGCTTAGGAGAAGTGTAGGAGAATGAATGCAACGCAACTGCAACAGTCATCTAATTAAGTAATAGGCTATACATTGTACATCATACTTGTGTGAAACCTATCAGCGGAGGGGATCTTACTTGTCCTCGAAATTTTTTCGGCTGCTGAGACACCACCCCTCCACGCTCAGTTGATAATGCAGAACTACCGCCTCACCACCACCGCCTCTGCCTCCCCCCTCCCCTCCGCCGCCTCTCCCGCCGCCGTTCGCCAGTAAAATTTCGGGAACCTTGGTAGCATGTTACATAGGTTGGAAAGGAGGGCCATACGGAAGGTGTAAATTCGCCAGATTTCCTAACCAGGTAAGGGTACAGCATCGTTGCGTGAAACACATGGGGGCAGTACTTTTCCGCTGGGGAAGGGAGTCGTACCGAGACCATCCTTCGAGGGGCGCACTGACACGCCATTTCACATCACGATGCTGTACCCTGATCACGATAATATACGTGTGTCGAAAAATTTTTTTTCGTGTCTGTAGTATTGACTTTTGTAACAAGTGATTCTGCGTGTCTGCTGAATATTCAAAGCTAGTTCCACTCAAGCAAATTGTAGGCGTCATTCTTTGTTCAAGTAGTCTGGTCCACAGTTTCTAAGATTATCTCTTTTTTTGCGACTTCACATTAGGTGACGAAGGCGCTGTGGCGCTTATAAGTGGCAGTTCTGACGCCTTCCTAGTTGTCCCGCCCATCGTAAGGCAAAGGCTATTTTCTATCACGAGTTGAATTTTTTACCATGTTTTTTGTTATTTTTTCGATGGTAGGATAGTACTATGCGAATGCGAATGGATGGCGCGAAGAGAAACTTCGCGGAGAGGCAGCAGGGTATCGCTTTGTTGCAGCATAAAACGAGCTTCCGTAGAACTCGTGCAGTGAATCTGTCAGGGCCTCCCTAAGAGGTTCTCCATGATTTTTTTTTTGCTTTTCTCCCTTGGAAAGTCACTTAGCGACTACAGGTTCGTAACTGAACGGCACTACTCACAATAGGCACTAGCGGGTTTCGTTCAATTGATATTTTTTCCTCGTAGGTTTGATACGTTGGATACGCATCACGTGCATTAAGCGATTGACAACATCCTTTAGTATTTTCTGGATAATTTACAATTGTTGCTTTCATATGCCAATTACCCCTTTTTTTACTTAGTGAGAGGGGAGAGTTCTGTAGAGGTGCAAAGGTATTAGAGAAGAATATGACAGATAGGACTTGTTCCAAAGTTTCCAGTTTCTCAGTCGAAACTGAAATTCGAAGTTCGAAATTGAAATTGGGTGTAAGTGGGACAACGAACGTAGGCGCCATATTGCACTCGCTAGGGCTGACCATGAGTCTGGAATCGAACACCTAAACACAGTTCCAATTAGGATGATTGATGCGACGCGTAGGGAAAAATGCGGACTTGAATGTCGGGCGACCTCACAATCCCTTTTATCTCGTGCACGAATTGAAACTGAAATGGCTCTACGACTAAGTGGAAGGCGTCTTTGGAGCGGTAGTTCTGTTCCCAAGGTTTTCGAACGTTTGGAGTATGTTAGAGCTCCTCACTTCAGTTCTGAATAACCGTATCTATCTTTTTTATTTCTCGCTTTACTTTTTTTTATCCAGGGATCCCGTTGGTTTGTCCCTCGTGCATTTTTCTTTGTCGCGGTATGTGCTCGAGTATGTAGATGACTGCCCCCCCCCCTTTTCCAGTCCAGTTTGTGGTTTTTGTTTTCGACATTTGTTGTTATGATAACTCCTGTTTTTCGCCGCGGTTCGCATCCCGATGGTGAGTTATGAACACAAGGCTGGACTTCAGGTAAGACTCGAACCTGCACCCTAGTATTGGGCTAATATAAGCCAGGTTCGGGTCTTTTATGGGGTCCAGTCTTTATCCGTTACTCAGCGTGCTGTTTTTATTTCTGTCCAGTTCACCTTTCATTCCTTTGATCAGTCTTTGTTTACGGCGGCTCTATTTGAGAGCAAAGGTAAATAAACAAGGAGATCTCCTGTATCGCTCTTTTCATGGCGAACAAAACTTGGCCACGAGGAACAGAGTAGATTTTCTGATTCCGCTTTGTTTGATCACAAGAGGCTGTTATCTTCTAAATTTCGTACAACTAGAACGCTGATTTTTGATAACATCTGGGGACATTTTGTTAGTGGTTAGAAACGGTTGCTACTACTTCAGCTTCAGTTTAAAATTTTTTCATGTCTTTTCATTTTCAAATTTTTCATCTGTTACATGTGCAGTATTTCATGCCCATTCGTATCGCGACCTCTGCTTCGTTTTACTGGTGTAACGGATAAAAAAAACAGCCTCAGACTGAGTAGAATGCGCGCCAACTGAATGAATCCAGCGTAAGTCGTACGCTAGGGCTTGTGTGGATTGCATTTGATCGCTGGAGTAAGGGGGTCGTTTTTGACCTGAGGAAATTTTTTTCTAGTTGGTTTTTCCTACTGTTTACGGGCGACCCCGGCGCCCCTCTCCCTACCCTCTGCTCAAATTTTGAGGAAAGAAAAATTTCTCGAGACATTTAGAAAAAAGCCGCAGGAAGTCGAGAAAAGTTTCTAAGATGGTACGTGGGATGGTCGTGCCAGAAGGAGCTGGGGTGGGGTGGTATTTTGCAAAGAATTTCCACAGCGACAAGACGTGCCCTGAATAGGTGCGTCCCGAAACGTCGCGTCGCTGATCCGTCATCCTTCCTCCAGAAAGAGGACACGTCCTACCGTTGGGGAAAATTTTTGCAGAGACACGAACCCTCCCTCTCCCCCCCACACACACACACCTTCAAATTCCCTCCTGTGGTGGGAAACTCCTTATTCATCCGCCATTCTACAGACTATCTTCCTGGATCTTCCTAATATTGTATATTAGGTTGTCCGGAAAGTTCTCAGCGTTTTGTGCACCTATTTTTTGTACATTCACTGCTGATTAAAAACTCATTCTGCCTTGCTTCTCAGTAGCACATCCTGTAGAGAATTTCTTGCGCTATCTGATGGTATAATTGCCTTTTCATCATTGCTTGATAACCCCTTTTTTCAAGACTTTTTCAAGCATGTGAAAAGAGCACTTCGGACGATTTTTTTCTTCGACTATAAATTGGGGCAATCCGCAATCGAAACAGCTCAACAAATTAACCAGGTGTGGGGGCCCAATAGTGCTAGAGAAAGCACTGTGCGGCAATGGCTCAACAAATTTCGTTCTGGAGATTTCAGCCTTGAAGATGAACCTCATAGCGGTCGACCTAAAGCAATATCTGACGAGGATTTTAGGGGATTTTGGAGGCTGACCCATCCCAAACAGTTCGAAGAGAAGGTGTGAAAAACTCGACAATTGGGTGCCCCACAATCGGAGTGACCGGCAGGAATCGGCACGTCTCGAGGTTCCTTCTGCATTGCTTTTGCGCAGCAGAAACGACCTGTTTTTGGACCGAATTGTCACCTGTGATGAAATATGGATCATGTATGATAACAGGAGACGTTCCGGACAGTGGTTGGATTTTGACGGACCACCGAGGTAATTTTCAAAGCCGAACCCTCACGAAAAAAAGATTCTGGTCACGGCTTGGTGGTCATCGGCTGGTGTGATCCACTATAACTTTTTATCACCAGGCCAAACCATCACAGCAGAACCCTACTTGAAGAAATCGACGAATTGTACCGAAAATTTTGTCAGATGCAGCCAACACTTATCAAAAGAAAGGGTCCGATTCTTTTGCATGACAACGCCCGCCCACACGTTTCACAAATCACTATCCATAAATTGAACGAATTGGGGTTGAAGTTCTACCTCGACTGCCATATTCTCCAGACCTTTCACCAACCGACTATCACCTTTTCAAACATTTTCA